CAGCAGCTTATCACCTCGCTCAACTACCAGTCCCCCCTCCTAACGCTGATCAGATTTTGACCCCGATTTTCCCCCTTCCTCCTTCCCTGACAACCGTACTATTTTTTCTTACCTTAACCCCAACCTTAAAACTAAATCTAAGCTAAACCCTAAACCTCACCTTAATTCTAAACCCAATTTCTCCGGTATGTTGTGCAGCGTCACCTGTATTGTTGACAGTCCCTATTCCTGTGCCATAGAAGTCATCATATTCTGGTAAGAGTACCTATTGGGGTCGCAGAAGGGTCCTTATGTATTATAAAAACCTACTTACAAGTTCAAGTAGGTTGATTTACCCACAATCTTCGGTTTTCTGCACGCCGGCCGTCGACCCAGTAGGGATTGGATGAAGTCATTGAACTACAGAGGGGTCCTCGGAAGGCCACCGCATACAGTAACCGCTTAAGTCAGTATACCAAGCAAAAATGTCTTTGCCAATCAACCACGAGAATAGTCGCCTACTTACAAATTTTAAGTAGGGTGAATTTCCACGATCTTCAACCTTCTTTACTCGTTTGCCTTTATTCAAGTTGGGGTTAGTGGTACTACCGTCAACCTTACCGAATAAGAGGTTACGGATACGGTGGCGTTAATAGCCCCAGACTGGGCGTCCATCCGACCCAATAAGACTGTAAAAAGTCGCTCGGCTCATTCTTAGACCGAACGAAGGACTAAGTGCAAAAATCCAAGACTAACCACAAATGATTCCTTTACCACGCCGCAGTACACAATAACCACCCAGCTTTTTAGATAACCACAGATCTATAAGCACCATGCTCTGGCTGAGATTATCGGTAGCCAATGGTGGGGTGGAGGAACTAATTTTTGTCTCTCAATGACGCAAGACGTTTGGGAGGACAATCATATGTTGTTGATGTGTGATTGGCCGCCTAAAAACCTTTAAGGCGAAAATGCTTTCCATGGAAAAACCATTCTTACTCGTGCTTGCGCAGGACCGCTCACAGGGGCAGGCCAATCAGAAGTTGACACCAATCTGTCATCGTGTCATCAGAGCTTGGGCACTCTCATACGCGGTAATGACCCCCCCCCAAAAAAAAACAGACAATTTGTTCCCCTTCACTGAACTACTTAATGCCGTCTATCA